ATCCTGGCTCTCGGGCTGGGCTGCATCCCGACAGCACGCCACCTCTCTGAGCCTCTGCGCGGTCATCTGCCAGGTGGCGGCAGTTCCCACGGGATGAGGCAACCGGGGCACAGCAAAAGGCGTGGCCCGTGGGAGCTGAGGACCTGGGAGGGGAGACGGGAGTCAGGCACAACAGCGCTCAACCCATTCCTAAGTCCCCTTCCGGCTCCATCAACGTCTTAAAAGGGAAAAGAAACAGAAAGCTTCAAGTTCAAGTTCAAGTTCAAGTTCAAGTGCCCTGAAAGAGCAGCCTGTAGCCACCACACTGAAGGCAGTTCACACTGAAGAGAGGCCGGAACTCCCACCTCAGGTCCTCAGGTGAGCAGAGCTGGACGCAGGCACCTCCACCAGGGATTCCAGGTCACAGTGTCCAGTGAGCAGAGGCCAGGAGCACACAGACTCACCTCAAGAGGCGCAGAGGCTCCCACAGCTCAGAGAGGAAGAGCACAGAGGCTGAGGCTGCACAGCAAGGTACAGGCAGAGGAGGAAGCCCACGATGCCCCCCAACCCCGCCCCGCCATCCTGAGCAGTCGGGCTGGTTAGGGGACTCGAGAGCAGGGAACCCACCCAAGACAAAGGGAAGAGCCCACATGGTGGCACAGACCTGTGATCCCAGCAACTCGGAGGCTGAGGCAGAAGGATGGCAAGTTCAAGGCCAGCCTCAGCCACTTGGGGAGGTCATAAGAAACTCAGTGAGACTCTGTCTCAAAAATTTAAAAAGGGGTCAGGCAGGTCATGTCAATGAGCAGAACAGCCACTGCAGAGACTGAGGGCTCCGTCCCCAACCTAAAGACACTCAAAAGTCGATTTTTTTCCTCTCTCTCTTAAGCAGTGATGCCTCCCGGCCGCTGCTGGCTTGTCTAGCACATCTGTGCAGATGAGCACGAGAGCCCACTTCCTCTGTCCCTTCAGCAGGTACGTGTCAGAGCAGCCTCTCAATAAGTACCCAAGGGAGACCGGCACCCACATGATCTGCAAGGTATGGCACAACCCAAGCAGCTGCACCCAGCGACACACACAGCGTTCCCCGGGCCACCAAGGTCCCCTGGCTGTACTCTATGGTCTTATAAAAAGGCCCAGAGACGTCCAAGCAAAGCTCACGTAGAAACCAGAAACCACACTCGGTGTCCACACCCAGCCCCGGTGTTAGGCCCGGCTGGCTCCTTCCTCGGCCGCGGCGATGCTCAAGATGGACACCCAGCAAGCTCCTGCCAGGCCCTTTACACTGGCTGCTCCCGCTCCTCCAACATGTTTCTCCTAATAAAATGACACTTCTTACTCCCTTCGCTACATTCAAAATCCTCTTCAGGGCTCTGTCCGACAGGCAGAGGAAGGACAGGAGGCGGACGTGGGAGAGCAAGAGCGCTCGGAGGCCTGCTTCACGTCACTCAGGGTCACCAGGAGAGCCCCAGGGTTTACACACGTCCCCTGACGAGGTTCCCCAGGCTGCGTCGGCCAGAGCAGCAAGAAGCCAGCGCCCCGGGGACCAGGAAGGGGCAGCTGCCCAGGTGCCGGGGAGACCTGGGAGCCATGCCCCTCACACCTCCAGGCCCACCTGCACGTCCCCAGAATTAACCAATGGACAGAACCAGGGCACCCAGCACCCACGGGCTGGTCTTGCACCCCCACCCCCACCCAGGCCCAGGTGGACACCTTCCCCTTGTCCACGTCACACTCCCTGGTGTGAGGACAACCTGGGCTGAGGTCAAGGAAGGTGGGCAGGTGCCACCACTGTCTGCACACAGGTCGGATTGTCCCCACCTGTGCGAGGGAACTAAGCCCCCAGAGGACATCTCAGAGGCCAGGGCAGGTCACCCGGGAGCATCAACAGCAGCCCAGGGTCGTGACAGTGTACCTGCCCCTAGGTGGCCACTGCACCAAACACCGGGGGGGAAGGACGCCAGGTGCAGGGGACACCGCCAGCTGGCATGGACAGGATTCATTTCATGAATATGTCAAAACACTTAAGGTAACACTGAGAGCCCCTGCACCTGGAAAGTCACCTCAGGGTCATTAGAGTCTGGTTCTTGTTTGTGGCCTAAGAAGGTAAGAGTGCGAGCTTCTGAGTGAGGCCACTCAGGGACAGCTCATGGTTCACCCACTTCCTGTTGGCCGTAGGCTAGTTACCTGACCTTTCTGTGCCTCTAAGCATTGCCTAGGAACCTCAGGAGGACTAGACCCACTCACACGTGGACAGCACTTAAGGCAATGCCCAACCTGACTTGGTAAAGGCGGCTCCCACCCGGGGTCATCTAAATACCCTGTTTGTCAGTCTCAACAGGAGGGCAGGGGCCTGGTGCTGAGCGTCGGGAAACGCAGGCTAAAGGGATCTGGCCAGCACAGGTACACGGTTGGTTCCCTGTTCATTTCTCCTGTGTTCAACAAGAAAAAGTAAGAATCCAAATAAGAATCCAGGGAACCAGGCACACAGGAGCGTGCGTACGTATTATATATACTCACATCTGTTTATATATAAGGTGTATGTAACTTACGTGAGTTGGTGTCTGTGCACATTTGCAAACCCATGCTAGAGTGCTCGGAATCGGCTCCCCCGAGCGCAGGACTTGGGGACCGTCCAACACATGCAAATGGCTCAGCCAAGGTGCCCCCAAGATGGGTTTTGAAACATCTCCCTCCTATTGGGGTTGCACATCCTCGGGCCTCCCAAGGCTGTTCCTCACCTGTGGGCCCGGATGCTCACCAGCCCCACGTCAGGGCAGTGTGTGCGGGGACAAGGCTGTCACAGGACACCCTCCAGAGAAGACAGTGCTCACACAGGCCTGGCACGGCCTGGCCCTCATCCTTCCTGGCTGGAGCGGGGCGTGACATCAACCCTCCCACCCTTTTAAAAAAATCCTCTCAGGATGATTCAGAGGAAAGAAAAATAAGAAACAAGGTATGTCCTGGCCCGGGGAGGGGCCCTGTCTCAGCCTTCACTGTTCTAACTACACCTCTGCAGACCCCACGAGGCTGGCTTCCATGTCACCCCCCTGAAGAGCAGTGTGACCAGGCACAGCCACTTGGGTCCTCGGAGCCGCAGCTCCCTCGTCTGTAAATGGGGCCAACAACAGCACTGCAGGCCGCGGGCGGCCCGGGCACCGGGCTGGCCTCATGTGGAGGAGGCTTTGGGCTGCACTGTGCACAGAAGGCCCTGTCACCTTCCAAAGCCGGCACACGGGACCAGCTCAGCCACAGGTGACAACGTGCTCCCTGGGAAAGCCACTCAACACCTCTAAGCCTGGTTTCCTCTTTCACAAAGCAGGACATGGGGGCCTGCGCCGTTCCATGTATGTGACGTGCTGGTCACAGAGAAAGATCAATAAAGAGACGTGATTGCTGCCAGGGACTGCCACCAAGCCTTGGCCTTCAGGGAGGCTCCGAATGAGGAGCTCCGACATCCACCTGGCCCATGGCTGCCACCTCCCTGCCCATCCCCCACAGTCCAGGTCTAGCGTCTGGAGTCTCCTGCAACCGGATTAGAAAGTGCTGCATAGCCCAGAGGCCATGGCCATGCCCACCAAGCCTGCAGGGCACCGGGAGGCAGCGGGGCCAGCGGGGGACTCCAGAGCACCTCACTCACAGCAGCCACCTGTACCCAGCTCAGGGCAAGATGGCAAGGGACCTCTGGAGGGCTCCCAGGCATGGTCACAGTCCCCTCGCTCTTGTGGCACATTGCGACTAACAGGTGCTTGGAGATCCACAGCAAGCCCTGCCTCCTGCCACTCAGGCAGCATCGAGGTCCTGCATGAAGAAGGTGGGAGCCAAGGTAGCCAAGTCCCGGCTCCGGGTCCACCACCCGAGGTGCAGGGCACCAAGTGCTTCTCTAAGCTGCTGCGGAGGAACCATCCTGAAGCCCCACCCAGCTCAGCTCCTTACTGAGGCCCCACATGCACTCCTGTGCCCCAGCTCTGTGCCCAGGCTGCATGCAGGGTGGCAGGGGACAAGCAGAGGCATAAAGGGATAGCGGGGGTGAGTGGGAAGGAGATGGCCCAGGAGCTAAAAGCCATCCCCGGGCTGTACTGCCCACTGCCACCTGACCCAGGGCAGGTCACTTCCCTGAGCCTCTCCACCCACCTGTAAAGGGGAAGAGTCAGAGCCCGACTCCCGTGGGGTCACGGGACGGAATCCGCCTCACAGGCAACACCCAAGCATGTGAACAAAGGACCTCGGGAGAGCTGGCCACCGGCCAGACTGGGTCGGCAAAGCCAGAAACAGCGTCACAGGCTCGGGCTGAGCTTCGCCATTTGGCCACCTCCCTCAGCAGAACTACCTTGGCCTGGGACTGCTCAGCGCCCAAGATCCCCGGGGCACCTGGGTTCGGCACCCACCACTCCTGGCAAAGCAATCTGAGAGACGGGCTCCTCCTCCTCCTCCTCCTCCTCCTCCTCACTGCAGAGCTGCAGCCCCCAGGCCGTCCCGAGCCCCAGGGCGCTCCCTGCCTTCTCCCTGCATTTCCCTGATGTGGCCAGACCGGCTCAGGGTGGGCGCTGCCTCCAGAAGCCTACGCCCAAATCAAGCGCTGTCACCGCCAGCTGGGGGACAGGGGTGACATCAAGGCAAGCTGCCTAGCTGCTCCGTGCCCCAGTTTCCTCGTCTGTAAGATGAGCGCAGTAACCCTACCGCCCACTCTGCCTGTCATCGCTGGGAAGACAACTAGGTCACCCCGAGGGGCGCGCTCCTGTCCTTGGGACACGCCGCCCTGCACTGGGCAGCGCCCAAGGCTCGTCTGTGGGACAGATGACGTTTCCTGCACGTTCTCACTGGCTGCCGGGAACATGACCAGGCTCGGACTCGGTCTCTCTTTGGGAACAACTGTTGCACCAAAATTCTGGAAGCTTTCGGCTTTCCGCCCCCATCAGGAGGAGGAGCTTCGCGGAGGTTCACTCCCTCGCCACGTTCCCACGTGGCTGCAAAGCTCCAGCGCCCCACCTGGGGGCGTGCTGACGGGCAGAGGAGTGGGCATCATCTGCCTGCGCATGCGCGGCCTCTCCGTCAGCAACCGCGCCTGCGCCGCTGCCCACTGGGCACCTCTCCTCCGCCTGCTCGCCCCGGGAACAGCACGCTGGGCTGGAGCCCGTGCAGGGCTCTAACGCATTTTAACTCAACCACCAGGTTCTGATCAAGGGCCTGGTAAGAGGAGAGGATGATGAGGATGTGGGGAACAAATGCCCCCCACTTAGGGGTCCTCCAAAAATCCCATGGCCCCCGCCTGCCCTGCTAAGCCTCGTCCATCCTTGACTTTCGGTGAAAAGGCCGGCTCGAGTCACCTCCTCCGTGTGGAACCAGGAGGAGTCTCAGTAGAGAGGGGCAGGGTAACTCGTCACAGGGACCCTGCCTTCCCCGAGGCCACTCGGTCACAGTTAGATGAGAACCTCTTGCTCCCAGCGAGGCTCAGAGACCGCGGCCAGGCCAACTTACCAACTGCCCTGAGTCCAAGCACTTCTCGTGACTCCCAGCCAGCCCAGCAGCTGTCCCCCTAGCCTGGACCCCTGGGCCACCTCCTCTCTCCACTTCCTCCTGGAGTCTGTTGTCCTCAGCAGGCAGCCAGAGGGTCCTGCTGAAACCTCCCTCACAGGCACGGTCCCCTAAGTGTGCAAGTCCAGTCTCCCCCTGCGCCCTGTCCCACGTGGCCAGACCGCTCCAGACTGCGCCAGCTGGGCGCTGGTGGTCCCCAAGCCTGGAGTCCCTCCGCCAGGTTCCCTACTTCTTTTACTCCCTCTCCTCCCTCTGGGGATGTCACCTCCTCAGGGAGGCCTCTCTGGCCACTCCCTCCTCTTGCCCCGTAGCTTCTTCCACGGGACTTCTCCCGCTCCAACCACTATTGGATCCTCTGACGTCTCAGAGGTTTCCCTTTCCTCCCACTGGCCAGAGCAGCCGCCCCACGGGACAGGGACTCCGTCTGCTCCCCACGCGCTCCTGGTACATGGTAGGTGCTCAGCAAAGACTCTGAATAAAGGGCTGAATGGGTGATTGACCGGGACCTTCTCAGGACACCCCTCCCCCTGTTCCCCTGTCAAAGATGGAGCCCCTGGGTCCCAGCTCACTCCTGGGTCCCGCCTTCCAGAAAGGCCCAGAGAAGCTGTGCAGAGGCCAGCTCAGAGCTGACCAAGACAGACGAGCCTCAGCAGGACCTGCTTCCTGTCGCCTGTCCTGAAAGGAAGGGGGGGGCAAGCGCCCCAAGCGCAAAGTTTCATCCAACAGAAGCCAGCGACCGACCAGCAGCCTGAGCAGGACACTCCCCCAAGGTCCAGCTTCGCCTTGGGAAGAAAAAGGCCTGTGAGCTCGCCTCTGCCCCTTCCCAGATGGCACTTAAAGTGGCCCGTGGGTCGTTCAAAAGCTGGAGCCCACAGGAGGGGCCTGGGCGCCCAAAGTCCATTTTACGCCAGGAGACTTTCCCAGGCTGCTGGGAGGCAGTAGCCTGGACAGGTGTGCGGCCACTCCTCACCCGGCACCGCTCACCACTGCTGCCCGGAGAGAGAGGCGGGTCCTCCACAATCTCAGCATCTGTTCAGAGTCGAGCATCATCCCGGAGGTCAGTGCCAGAGCTCAGTGTGTCGAACTCTCGCTGTTCGCTGCCTGAGAGGACCGTCCCTCTCACTCCCTCAGGGCAAACGTCCCAGAGTGGGAGAGGCCAGGAGAAGGACGGAGGAAGACCGACAGACCACCCTCTGCCTGCAGACTGTGCTTACGGGGCTTGGAGGTGGCCGGAAAGGATGGGGTGACAATGGTGTGACCCAGGCCGCCCTCCGCTGGGCTATTATCACATCCCAGAAGCTGAAGAGCTGTGGGACATTCGCAGCCCGACCCCGCAGAGCGGCTCTGAGTGAAGGTCTGTCTACCAGAGCCCCACTGACCACGCCCGTCCTGGAGCACGAACAGGAGGGCTCTTTGGAGGTGAATCCCTTTTCCCTTTCGCATTTGGTACCTACAGACCCATCAGGCCAGGGAAGTAAGAGCCCCAGGCTCCCCAGAAAGAACTGCAGGCTCCTTCTGGCTCATGAGACTGACAGCTGTACAAGAGGACCTGCGAGAGTGGACCTTCCCGGACTGGATATTGCTTAAAAGTCCTACAAATAGAACCTGTCTCGTACCTCCCTTTCTATCTGGAAAACCTTGAAGTAGCACATTTCTTGGACATGAACTTGAGGGTATTTGGAGCACAGCCCACGGGGACTGAACAGCGCCACCCCCTTGAGATGAGGCATACACTGGTATGCCCTGCTCCCCACCGCTCCCCATTGCCCCCCACGTGGCCAATTCGGTCACTTCCTTTCATCGCCCAGTACCCCGGAGCCTGCCGGGTTGTGAGCCTGTTTACCCAGGGTCTTCTGTGGTTCTCTCCTCAGTCCCCTGCCTCTAGACTGAGGTCGCCTGCCACTGAAGGTGTACAACGTCCTTGAGCCCTCCAGTGACGGAGCAGGGGGGCCCGGGCCTAGGGTGCAGCTGAGCCCGCCAACCACCACCTCCGGTCTGCACGGCAAGGACAGGCCCTGCAGTTCCCCAGACACAGCTCTTCCCTGCCTCAGGGCCTTTGCTTGCGCTGTGCTGTGCGGGCCACTCTCCACCCAAAGACACAGGTGGACAGAGAGGCGGGGGGGACACCATTCATCTCTCTCTGTGGGCTGGATCACCTGCGTCAGGTCCCAGCTGGCGAGTCACCTCCTCAGCAAGACCGTCCCTTGAAAGCAGGTCTTCCAAGTATCATCTCTTTACGGGTCTTGTTGAGGCGGTCACCCCGAGTTGTGAATCCACCGGATGGGCCCCTAATCAGCTGTCGCATCTTCCCTTGAGCCCAGGCGTCGGCCAGCAAGCCCACTCCAGGTCACTTTCACCCAGTCTCGGGCCTCCCTGAAGCACCCCAGGCTCAGCGACACCCAGGCCCCAGGTGCACCTGCGCAGCAGCCCCTGAGCTCCACCAGGGCAGGGGCTCTGTCCACCTCACTGTGCCGGCCACACGGCAGGTCCTCCACACTCACCCGGACTGAGTCATGAGAGCTAAAAGCATTGCAGGTTTTTGATCAAACTTTCATCCCAAACCAAGGGGTGCTCGGAAAAAAGAGGGGAAAGAAGAACAGCCGAGCGCGGCCCATGGGGAACATTTTCGATTTCATGTTTAGAGAGAGAAAGAATGACACGGTCTCAGCTCATTTCCTTCTTATATAAAGAGGAGCTTAAAACCACTAAGCATGTGAAGGAAAAAAAAAAGTGAAGTTCTACAATGTGACAGATAAAAGGGAGAAGGGTGGGGACCAGTCACCAAGGAGAGAAGAGGCCGCGGCCCTACAGCACAGCGGGGACCCAGAGGGCGGGGAGTCCCAGACAGCCGCCACAGAAGCACCAGCAAGGGACACTCGGGGCGACGCTGCCCCTCGAGGACAGAGAGGGTGGGCTTTGAAGATTTTTAGAGCATACCACGGGTTTCCAAAGGTATAGGCCAGGAGGGAGAGAGTCCTTGGAGACCACGAACTTCAGATGCAGAGGGCGGGCATCTTTTGAACTGTGCACCCAGCCCGCTCCCTTCTCTAGAACTCTCCATGGCCCCAGTCCCCGATGTATGGTGCAAAAGCCCTGCAAAACCCGGCCCTTGTCACTCCCAGCAGAGCGACAGAGCCCCGGGGCACTGGCCCAACCGCCCCTGCCCTGCGCCCTGGGCCGGCGGCTGGCATGCTGCCAACGGAATCTCCCTGAGAAGCAGGACTTGGGCCCCCGAGGGCTGGTGCCGGCTAGACGTGGGCAGCATGTGAAACTGCAGGGATGGAGGGCTGCCTGCGGGGAGTCGGGGCGGTCGGGAAGCTGTGAGCCATGCTCCCGCCCCTCCGACCAGGGACAAGCGGCCCACCCCAGCCTGTCTAACCAGGGCCTGCTGGGGCGGCTCCAGTGAGGACGGGGTAAGTGGACACGTGCACCACACTCAGAAGACGGCCTCGCACATGGTGACTGCTCTCTGAGGACTTCTTATCATCTTGTGGCTCATGAGGGTGAGAATTTCCGGCTGCTGGGGCTGGGGGTGCAGCTCTTGTCCAGCACGTGGGAAGCCCAGGGCTACCCCCCGAATTCACGAGAAAAAATAAAAATAAAAGCGCTCTCGGGCTTGTTCATACCAGTCCCCAGAATCTGGCACTGCATCCGGTCCATAGTAGGTGCTCAACAAACATTGGTAGCACGATCGGTGGATGAGCCTAGCACACAGCCTGGAGCCTTGGGAAGAGCCTCCCAGCGCTCATCCCTGTGAAGCAGTCAAAGCGGGTCTTCAGAGCCTGAACCAGACCATGTGTCTCTCCTGGTCTCCTCCATGGCCCTGGCCTTGCCTGCTCTGCCCCTTGCCACTTCTCTTCCCTCCCCTCTGGCCCTTTACGCTCCAGTTACACTGGAATCCTCAAGTTCCTCTGGTGTGGTCTATTTCCCTCTGCCCCTGGGCATTTGCACATGCTGCTGCCACATGCATCCACAGCCCGGTCTCTTCCCCAGAGACTCTTAACTGATGTTCTTCCCTCCATTGCATTAATGCCTCTGTTTTACATGCCCAAAGCTCCATGCGCTTTTTCTTCATGCCACCTGCTGCAGCTCATAACCCTACCGTTTGCAGAATTATTCAGACCAAGAGCTCCATGGGAGACCACACTACTTTTTCTTCCTTCAGCAGCAAGACCGTATAAGGCACGAACACAGTGTGTGCTCCACAGGTACTTCTGGGGAGCAGCCGCTCGTCCAACGGACTGGCTGAGCCAACAGACCCTGGGCCCACTGCCCACAGCGGGCCTCTCCACCAGACCTCCCGCTCTGGTTCTATGTGACCTCCGGGAACCTCTCAGAGATTCCCCTTCCCCTGATCTGCCCTGAAAGAGGCTCTCTCCGTGTTGCCACAGAAGCGTTGACTCGAATACACACGTCGCAGCAGCCTGCAGGACCAGGGGTCCCCCCAGATCACCAGTGGTCGGGAGGCTCTGAAGCCAGCTAGCCTTCCCACCACAAGAACTGGCAAAGGACCAAAGTGCGGAAGAGCCAGCCCTCGCCCACGGAGACCCACGGAGGAGAGCGCAGAGCTGAGTCTCTACTCAGCTAGAAGCCACGGGCCTGCCCCACGGCCACCTGAACACGGAGTACACCAGCTGATACAAGTTTACAACTCTGCTCTGTGTTGGTATCCCAAAGGAGAAAGTCCACCCACCAACACGCAAACACGAGGAAAGACAAGACTCCTGTAAGGAAGGACATCGAGGCCCGGGATCAGCCTCCAAGACGCGGCAGCATCAGACTTAGGAAGAGCAGCTGCCAGGGTCTGTAAGTTCTTCTCACTGTCACACAAGTCCTTAGCCAGAGCACACACCCCAGGAGTCTATGAAGAGTCTTAGTCTGGGGGCTTTTGTCGTCTGTCTGTCTGTCTGGGCTCCATTCCTATTACAGTTTCTTTCTTTCCTTTTTTTTTGCGGGGGAGGGGAGGGGATACTGGGGATTGAACTCAGGAGTATTGGACCACGGAGCCACACCCCCAGCCCTATTTTGCATTTATTTAGAGACAAGGTCTCACTGAGTTGCTCAGCACCTTGCTTTTGCTGAGGCTGGCTTTGAACTCACGATCCTCCTGGCTCAGCCTCCCAAGCTGCCGGGATGACAGGCGAGCCCACTGCACCACTGCACTTGTTACGGATTCTCATTAAGCAGCTCTGCAGGCTCAAGAACAGCTCTCAGGGTGCTCGCCACACTGTACATGAAGAACCAACTTCCTGTCACAGAATATTTCCACTTTAAGGCAAATTAAAAAAAAAAATAGTGACATTCATTTAAATAGATCGAAGATTCTGGTTAACTCAGCTGGTTGGTGGGCACCAGTGGTAGTCCCTGGTTAACCAGACTATATAATTAAGATTATTTCAACTCTAATTCTTTTGGAGGAAAAAGAAAACAGGTCTATACTTACTTGAGGGGAAAAAAAAATCAGATTGAAAACCACAGACATAAAGGATACTAATTAGGAAAAGAAAAAAAAGGGAAATGCTCTCGTGGTTGTAAAGTTTTTAAATCCTTACAAACTACAGGTTCGCTACAGCACCAAGCATGTAGGTACACAGTCCCAGAGGTTGTGAATAGGAAAATACACAACAGGCCATCCACCAAAACACTAGTCTCCGTCACTTTAGAGAATGTCGTTTTAATTCTTCCCTTTTTGTGTGTATTTTTCAAGCGTAAATCATTTTTCCTTGATAGACTCACATCTGAGACTCAAGATGATGACACCAGGAACCGTCTGCCAGCACCAACCTCTCCAAAGCTCTAGCTGCCTCTCACTCAGAAGAAAAAGGGAAGACTTCTCCCCGGACAGAGGATCCCCTTTATCGTTATCGAGCTCAGGAAGGTTTCCTCTTGCCCCCGCGGGCCGGCCGAGCGTCTGACAGCGATCCAACCTCAAGTTTCTCACCCCTCACGAGAGCAAGAGGCTGAGACCCGAATGTCGGCCAGCCGCACAGCCACAGCAGCGGCTCGGCAGAAGCGAACCACCTGGGACACACGCGGGAGGCAAAAGCAGGAGAACGCGAGTCCATACCTGAACCACAGGGTGGCCTCCTGTGGGGGCTTTGACGGCCCCTCGGCTGCCCTCCGTCTCATAGTGGGCCCGGTGATGTGGCTTGGGCTGCACCTCAATCCGCAGCTCATAGGAGCCCGACTGATTGGAGAGTGGCCACTCGAGGGGCGGAAGGGACGCGGTCACTGGGATGCTGGAGGAAGAAAAGCAATCAGTCACGGGTGTGGTAAACCAGAATCAATCCCCTTGTACAATAAACATAAATGGCCCCTTTTTTTTCCCCCTGAAAACTGAATCCGGTGGATTATGAATTAAAACGGTATTTGAAGGGCCACGTGTTGCTTGGATATGACAGCGGCTCATTAGGACGCAGAGCTTTTCCTTTGCTTTCTTGTCCATCCTGATGAGGACATTGTGACCGGCCTCTCAATGCGTGAGGCCAGTGGCATGCTATGTTAGTTCTGTTTCTAACCACGCTCCTCACTGCTGTCACTGCTTCTCCTCTGGGGACTTGGAAGAACAGCACCTCCCACCTCTCAAAAACACCCCTTTGCAAAGATGCGTTCCTTTTTCAGAGGGTTGACGTAGGAGAAAGAATATTTAAGTGGCAATCAGGAGAGCCACACGTCATGAACGTGCCCTGGGCCTTTAAGCAAGAACTTCACCTCCCTTATTCCCAGTCTCTAGAACCACGTGGCACACATGCTGGCCAGCAGCTGAGAGTTCTCACAGCTCCTCCTTCTACCCGAGATGAGCTCGAGTAAACGTGCACTTGGGGAAGAGGCCATTCCCAGCCATGGTCATGACTTATGAGGTCAGTGAGGAATGGGTCCTTGGACCACAGAGATGCCCTGATATTACGTGGGGCGTGAGCCTCAGTAACAGGACTGGAGTTACAACCCAGTTCAAATCCCAGCTCCACCTCCAGCCCTAAGTCGGAGCCTCTGCTGCCCTAGACCTTAGGGTCCTCCCTTGCAAAGTGGGGACGTGGAGATCACATAAAGAGCATGACACAGAAGGTGTTGATGAACGTTGGCTGTCATCGTTTTTCCCGTCACACATCGTATGAGTCAAGCAGTTATCTCCAGGAGACCCTCTGCCACGGACATGGCAGCGGCCACACAGATACCACCGAGGAGGCCTTGGTGGGCATTGCCTTAAGTTTCATTTTCTTACAGAGTCTCAAGAGCACCGGGTACAGCAGCACTTGACAGACGTGTAGAATGGCATCACTAAAGAGCTGACTGAGGTCTTGAAGATTGGCTGGAACATCCCTTCCATCTCAGAGAACGCGAAGGCGCTTCCCCAAGATCACAGGTCAGGACGAGGACAAGGCTCCGTTTCCAGTCTCCTGACTCCAAGGCCGGGACATCAGGGCTCGCTGCCTCTTACCTTGCTAATTTATTTACAATAAATCCAAGACACTCTCATTGACAGCGTGTCTCTAGAGCACCGGACGTTTGATATCCCATTGATCTGTGAATCTGTAGTGGTGGGTGGAAGATGCATGTGGGATGGGCAGGTAGGTGACTGAGCAAATGCACACCTTTATTTCAAAGGAGGCCTGAATACTCTTGCAGTCTTGGAGTGGCCAAGGCCAAGATTTGTGCCCCTGTGTCCCGATTCCTCGTGCAGGACAGAAACCCTTAAACTGATCGGCGTATTCTTTCCCACTGAGCTTAGGGCTGTGAGAAGCTGGCATTAGCAGAGGACTTAGTTAAGCACCTGCAATGAAGCCAGTTCCTCCCTCCTCTGCTTTCTCAGTCCCCAGGGGAGAAGGGCAGAGGTGGGAGCACACCCCCACGGGCTCCCTCAGTGCCAGAGCCCAGCCGAAACATACACTCCACATTGGCACTATCCCGTACTATGCAAGAAAGCCTCCCCCGTTCCTCCTACCCAGACGCCTCCTGGGCCTCATGACCCCCAGTGTTAGGGTGTCCAAAGGACCTTTATTTCCACCTTGTGACAAAACCAAGAGGCCTTCAAGCTTCTGCATGGAGCCACCAAGCCACACGTGTCGGACGCTCTTACTAACTGCCAGCGTGTACGCAAGTGGGAATGTTTTAAAGTTTGCAAAATAAGACCAAAAAACCCCTTTAGTCCTACACTAATAGCTAAGATTCACTGGAATACCCACAAGTTCCACTTCATAATTCTGAAATAGGGTCTGACCCTGACATGGACTCCTAAGCAGTGGACCCCTGGAGTGGCCTGCCCTCCTGCACTTCAATCCCAGGCTCTCCCGAGTGTCCTCAGCTGTCTTCCTGAGACCAAGGTCACCAGGAGCTTCTCCCTGGAGGCTCCATTCTCTCCATCCCACAGAACATTTCTGCCAATGTCTCATCGGCTGGAACAGGTGGGGTGTTGCTCGGGATTAAAGGACTCCGACCCTCAGAGCCTCTGAGATCAGGCTGCAGAGATGGAAGGGGAGGGTTTACCCAGGATCAGGTCTCAGACCTATCAGTTCGCATTTCAAATCCAAGTTCCTCCCTCTCTGGGCCATCAATCAAGTCGTGGTTTGGAAACCGATCTGTAGCGGGGAAACCAGCACCAGGGACCCCAGGTTCCAGTTCCCAGCTCGGTCACCAACTAGCTGGTAACGGTGCGCGTGTCACTGCTCTGCTGTGAGCCCAAGTTTCTGTCTGTACCAGGGCCTGGCCTTCAGGGCATTTCCTAAAGTGGCCCTGAAAATCTTCAGGCACAGACCTCAGGGCGCTGTCACCACTGGCCTTTGAAATCACTGCCCACTCTGCCCACCTCGAAGGCCCTGAGAAGGCCTGCAGGGGCCCCTGGGAAACCCCTCTTCCAGGAAACACCAAGGGACCCACTGTGGCCCTGCCGTCCGCAGAGCCTGCTCTGGAGGACTGCCACCCCGCACGCTCCCTGTGGTCAGCTTTGGTTGGGTGTAGGACTGAGCAAAGCCACGTGGGCAGGGTCCCTAGCCACCCTCATCCCCGCGTCAATCAAAACAGCTCTACCAGGGTGCGGTGGCTCTGTGGCCGAGGCTCACGGGCATGCACAGGGCCCTGCGTTCCATCCCAGAACCACGAAACATAAACAAATAAATAAATACAGCAAAACCCCAGCTCTACCTTGACCCACCGTGACTTTCAACTCATTCTTTTATTTGGGAAAACTAAAAGGTTTCCATTTGCTAACACAAATCCCAGTTTGAAAGCCACAGGGACAACCGTGACAGCATGAGCCTTCCAGGCCTGCACCCCACAGACAGGGTCTCACTAAGTTACTTAGGGCCTCTCTAAGTTGCTGAGGCTGACCTCAACCTGCAATCCTCCTGCCTCAGCCTCCTGAGCTGCTGGGATTAGAGCTATAGGCCACCACACCCAGCACCTCCTTTTCTTTAACATCCAAATGAAGATTTAAAAAAAAAAAATTCCAAATAATACCAAACCAGGTTCACGTGAGAATTACGTGGAATAATTGGGTCCTTAGACCTGTGCTGACACATGGCAGGCATCCTTAAATGTGGGTGGTTATCGATGTCATTGTCCCTACTCTGAATGTCGGTAGCTATCAATGTCACCATCAGTACTCTGAAGCCTACAGTGAGCTCAATCTCCTAGCACAAGGCTTTTCAAAGAGGAAACGCCTGACTTATAAGAATAACATTTCCTGAATAGCAGCAGCAGCTCCTTTCTGAGCTCTTACTTTGTGTTGGCTCTATGCCAAGAGTTGGACGAGTGTCATTTTACCTAGTCCTTGAAAAAGACCCTATTAGGTAGGTACCATAATTATCCTTATATCTCTGGGAATGAACCAAGGCCAGAAAGGGCTCAGTAAAAGTATTAGGAGGCTGGGGATGTGGCTCAAGTGGTAGCACGCTCGCCTGGCATGTGTGGGGCACTGGGTTCAATCCTCAGCACCATATAAAAATAAAAAAATAAAGATGTTGTATCCATCAGAAAATAAAAAATAAATATTAAAAAAATTCTGTCTCTCTAAAAAAAAAAAAATTAGGGGTCCTGATTGATTAGCGATGTTTGATCTGGGCCTAGCATCAAAAGGTACTCAGTGAGAAGGTGGAGATTGATTAGCAACGTCTGCCACTGACACAGCAACAGCCCAGCAGAACCAGAGATACCAGGATCACACAGGGGCAGCAGGGCAGAGCTGGGGCTCAAATTCAGTCCTCAGGGATCCCAGAGCCAGACGCTGCTCTCTCTGTGCATCTCTTCAGCCTACCAAGATCTTAAGCCCCTTGAGGACTGTGGCATTTGACTTCTTCCAGGGCTCCCATGGTACTGAGCCTAACACTGAAGACGTGGCAGACGCTGAGGAACACCGGCTCCTGTTGAGATGAGGGGGGCTTCACATAGGAAAGCTGGCTCTGTGCCCCCCGAGTGTCAGCTCCATAAAGGCAGAAATCTTCTGTCTAGTAGTCTGGCACACAGTAGGTCTCTGATAAATAGCACCCGGGTGATTGAACCCAGGGGTGCTGAACCACCGAGCCACATCCCAAACCTGTTTTGTGTCTTATTTGGAGACAGGGTCTCACTGAGTTGCTCAGGGCTGGCTTTGAGCTTTCCATCCTCCTGCCTGCGCCTCCCCAGTCTCTGGGCGCCTGCACCCGGCTGATAAATAGTTTTGAGTGCGTGAGTGAGGTGCCCCCTGTCTGGGCACAGTGTGGCATGGCTGCACCTTGGGCCGCCAACTTTACAGATGGGGAAACTGGGCCTCCAGGCTGGCAGGTGGCAGAGCCAGGATTTAGGTCCGCTCCGCCTGGCTCCAGCTTCCCCGCCCACAGCCCCCACACCCACCCCGCTCAGCCGCACCCTCGGGGACGGACCACCCTGGAGCCCGGCTCACCTGCAGATGGGAATGGCCGGCACCAGCTGCTTGGGCCAGGTGGGCGACACCAGCAGGATGGACTCGGGGCCCGAGTTCCTGCGCTCCTCCTGCTCGCAGGGCCCCAGGAACTCCACGGCCGGG